AAAAACAATTATTATTAATACATTTGAAATTTCTCCACTAGGCTTTTTTAATCATTTTAAATAATAATAATAATGATAATAATTCTAATAGTAGTAGTAGCAGCAGCATTAGTAGTAGTAGTAGTAGTAGTAGTAGTAGTAGTAGTAGTAGTAGCAGCAGCAGTAGTTTTGATCGTTTGAAAATAATCTAACTTACATTGTAAGACATCTGTCAAATTGGGTCCCAAAAGGTAGTAGAGCAGTAGTAGTCGTAGAGGAAGCAGCAGCAGCAAAGGCAGCAATAGTATTATAGTTGTACATTTGAGCGTTTTAAAATAACCTTATTTACATTCTAAAACACACAAAAGGTATAGTAGTAGTTGTAGTAGTAGTAGTTTCAGAAGCAGCAGTAATAGTATTATTAGTAAAATTATTATTATTAGTAGTAGTAGTTGTTGTAGTAGCAGTAGTAGTAGCATTAGTAGATAACACTAAATGGGGGCCGAATTTAAAAAAAATTTCCAATTTCTGCTAGTGTCGGTTTTCTAATTTTCTACCTAAACCTGACTTTTAATGAAACTACAGCTCACAACATCTCGACCCCTCCTTTTCATAAATTCGCCACTGGCAGCAGTGGCAGTAGCAGTTGTAGTAGTGGTGGTAAGTTCGAACGTGAATTATTAACATATTTAAATTAGATCGTGTGAAAACATTCTTTTTCATTTACGTATTTAATTTACATAATAATAATATTAGTAGTAGTTGTAGTAGTCGTAGTAGTATTAGTAGTAGTAGTTGTTGTTGCTGTTGTAGTAGTAGTAGAAATAATAGTAATAGTAGTAGTTGTTGTAATTGTAGTATTAGTATTAGTAAAAGTAGTAGTAGTAGTAGTAGTAGTAGTAGTTGCTGTTTTAGTAATAGTAGTAGTTGTTGTTGTAATTGTAGTTGTATTAGTAGTAGTAGTAGTAATAGTAGTAGCAGCAGTAGTAGGCAACGCTAAATGGGGGTCGAATTTAAAAAAAATTCCAATTTTTGCGAGTGTCGGTTTGCCTAACCTAAACCTGACTTTTAATGAAACTACAGCTCACAACGTCTTGACCCCCCTCCCTTTCCATAATTTCGCCACTGGCAGCAGTAGCAGTTGTAGTAGTGGTGGTAAGTTCGAACGTGAATTATCTTATTAACATATTTTAATTCGATCGTGTTAAAACATTCTTTTTCATTTACGTATTTAATTTACAAATAGTAGTAGTAGTAGTAGTAGTAGTAGTAGTAGTAGTTGCTGTTGTGGTAGTAGTAGTAGTAATAGTAGTAGTAGTAGTTGTTGTTGTTGTTGTAGTATTAGTAGTAGTAGTATTAGTAAAACGAGCTGTTTTATTGAAGTGAACTGTTGAAAATGAATAAAATCTCAGTTCGATAATAAATCTCATTTAATTTTCTTTTATAATAAAACTTATGAATGAAGATAACTTCGACCTCATCATTTTGACTTTGTCGTTATTTTTTTTATTACATAACAATTTTTTGGCCGAAGAGATGCAAAAATGTGGGCAGTTGTCCCCTACAAATAGACTTGATGCTCTTTTTATGTTTAGATTCAGTCTATGATTTTTCTAAATAAATGTAAAGTGATTTACATAGACAGATAGCAAATAGGCTACCGGTGAATCGTATGTATCAAAAACTATATGCTCTTCTGAGGAATCGTTCCAAACGAGATTCACAAGTTGGAATTCCCGTGTACTAACGATTAATCATTTCATTTATTTATTTAGTTACTAATTTATAAATTTATTTGTTTATTGTTTTTAATAGTGTGGTGTCTCGTTTCAGTGTGGTTGTGATTTTTTTAAACTTTTATTTTTACAAACTATTTTTGTTAATTTAACAGAAAATTTCCAACGAATGATTGAAAAATTATGAAACAAAATCAACTGTTACGCCGTAATAACCATTTTCTCCGGTTGAAATTTCACAAAAACTCAGTAACTATTTTTTTACAGCTAAAAAAATTAAAGAAATATATTTAAAATTTTTAAAAATGAAATAACTTTATTGTAATAATGACGATTTATTTGCCTTTTAAACCAGTCGCTTGCGAGAATGGAGTAGCCTAAGTCATCTTCATTTTCTCTAAACATGTTTTTGTCTTAACATCATTATTTTTTTGTAATTATTGTTATGTTTAAAAGTTTTTTTTTCTTCAAAGATATGTTAATTTTGTATGTACAAATTTGTTACGTCATAAAATTCGAACCATCCATCTTTCATGTATCAGTCCTCATCAGTGGATCTAAGGTGAGCCACCGTTGTGAACAGCGTTTTGCTAAAGGTCAATTTTAGACAGGAAAACATCTTTTTTAAGTACAAAATTGACAAAAATTGGTG